ATAATGGAGAAAATGAGGCGAGAACAACATGCCATAAAGTTTTGTTGCTAAGGGACATATATTCGTTATTTATGAAGTTATTTTAATGGCCTGTGATTACAATAACAGAATTAATCGTAGGTGACAGTTCCGGTGGTATCCATGAATAGATTGAGAAGAAAATTATTTATTAGAGGGAAGTATATGAGAGGAAGTTATTAAGAGGACTGGGAATGATTGGTTTATGTCCTAGTAAAACCATGGAAAGAATTATAATGAAATACTGATAATGAAAACATCAACAAAAACAATAATAAAGAAAAAATAGTAACTATAATAACCATGACAATGATTATAATAATCATGATAACAATGATAATAATATAATAACTTGATAGACTGGGTGTGAGGGTCACGATTCCGTCTTATATATATATTTTTATATAGTTTATTAAAAAAAATATTGATTCATAATTAGTCGGAAAAGGGAAGGTGTAGAGTCATCCTTAGATACGAATCAAATTAATAGAGAATATTTCTTGTTTATATTATATCTATTGCTAAGATTTCCATGACAATATGCCACCTGTTTATCATTATGTTTATAGAATAAAATGCTAATGCTTAATAATGTTTCTATGACCGTTATAGTATTTAGCAGTCAACAGGAATATTTTCATTATCATTATTACTATTATTATTATCATTATTATTATTACTATTACTATTGTTATCATTATCATTACTATCATTGTTATTATTATTATTACTGTCCTTATCATTACTTTTATTAATGCTATTTCTATATTTATGATTATTATAATAACCAAAGACCGTTAAAGTTACGCTCACCACAGTTATTTAATTGGAAAAAAAATAGTTAGAATGTGATAACTTTGTATATGAAAAAAATCCCATCCCTTACATAATGATAATAGTTATAGTGATGATATTGTTAATGATAAATGTGATGACGATATTAGCAATAATAATGATAATAATAATAATAATAATAATAATAATAATAATAATAATAATAATAATAATGTTACAATATTGATAATAACAATAATGATAGTGATAATGATAATAACAACACCAATGATGAAAATAATAATAAAATACTGATAATGAAAACACCAACAAAAACAACAATAATAAAGAAAAAAAATAGTAACTATAATAACGATGACAATAACTATGATAATACTATGATAATAACAATATAACTGAATTAATAATATATTGATAAAAGTAATAATAATAATACCAATGATATTGATAGTCATAATATTGATAATGATAATAATTATAATGATAATGATGATAAAAGTAAGTAATAATAATAATATTCAAAATAATAATAGCAATAATATTCATAGAAATCATAATGATAATGATATTGATGATGATAATGATGATAACAATATTGATAATAGTAATAATAATAAATATAGTAATCATAATAACACTGAGAATAATAAAAATGATGAACACATTAATGATGATAATAGTATCTATAGTAGAAATAGCAATGATAATAGAAATAGTGATAATAATGATACTAATGATAATAATAATGATGATAATGGCAATAATGATAATAATTATAACCAGAATTACCCAGAGAGTGACAATAAGGTTAGTGATTAATGGAAATATTTAAACTTGATGATAACGAAAGTAATGATGATGACAATGATGATAATGACAGTGATAATGGTAATAACAATAATAGTAGTTATGATGATTGATGGAAATGAGATTAATAATAACAATGATGATGATGATGATAATGATAATAACGATAATAATCGAATAATGATAATGATAACAATAATAATGATAATAATAACAATAGTGATAATAATAATAATAGTAATGACTATAATAATAAGTAATATGATAATAAATAATAATATAATAATAATAATAATAATAATAATAATAATAATAATAATAATAATAACAGATAATGATGATAGTGATGATGATAATAAAAACAATTATAATAATAATATTTGCAATAATAAAGATTATAATAATGATGATGATATCAAATATAAAAACAACAATAATGTAGTGATAAGGATAATAATAATAATTACAATAATAGTAATAATAATAATAATAACAATAATGATAACGATTATAATGATAACATTACTATTATAATAATCATAAATATAGAAATAGCATTAATAAAAGTAATGATAAAGACAATAATAATAATAATAACAATAATAGTAATGATAATGATAACAATGGTAATAGTAATAATAATAATAATAGTAATAATGATAATGAAAATCACAATAATAATGATAATGATAATGATAACAATAACATCAGCCTCAACAGTGCTGATAATAATGATAATTACAATAACAATAGTAAAAACGATATTATAGGAATGATAATAATGATAGCAGTAACTAAAGTGATAGCAATAATAGAAGTAGCAGAAGCAACAATGGCCATGATAAGAATAATAATGATGATAGTGATAATAATAATAGTAATAGTACTACTACTACTACTACTACTACTACTACTGATAATAATAATGATAGTAATAATAATAATATGATAGTAATAATGATAATAATAATAGCAGTATAATAATGATAGTAATAATAATAATAATAATGATGATAATGATAATAATAATGATGATAATGATAATAATGATAATGAACATGATAAAAATAATAATGAAAATACGTCTAGGTACTGTCGAGGATTTAATCACATATTTAAAACCGTTAGGGTATATTTATGTGTGTGTGTGAGTGAGTATGTAGTGAGTATGTGTGTGTGTGTGAGTGAGTATGTGTGTGTGTGTGAGTGAGTATGTGTGTGTGTGTGAGTGAGTATGTGTGTGTGTGTGTGTGTGTGTGTGTGTGTGTGTGTGTGTGTGTGTGTGTGTGTGTGTGTGTGTGTGTGTGTGTGTGAGTGAGTATGTGTGTGTTGCTTGTGTGTGCAGCAAGCGTATATGGCATGAAAGAAAGAGAGGGAGAGTGAAGTTTACAAGTGTGCACAGCGGCAAAGAAAAAAGCAACAGCGTAAAAGGTGAAAGTGAAAGGTACAGAGAGAGAGGGAGAGAAAGAGAGAGAGAGAGAGCGAGAGAGAGCGAGAGCGAGAACGAAAGCGAGAGAGGAGAGAGAGGAGGAGAGAGAGCGAGAGAGCGAGAGAGAGAGAGAGAGAGAGAGAGCGAGAGCGAGAGAGACAGAGACAGATAGACAGATAGAGAGAGAAAGTGGGTGATATTTACAGGTGTGATCAATGATGTTCTATCTGATAGCATCACAACGGACCCTCATGTCACTCCCCAACCACCTCTTCTCTTCCCCTATCTCTGCCTCCTGTTTGTCTCTAACCGCTTCGCTACGAATCTACATCTTACGGTGTATAGCTTGTCTTCCTTGTTTGTCTAATCTACTTCGCTGTAAATGCTTTTCAGGCGAGTGTTGACGAGGTATTGGCTCATCGGCGAATAAGTGGAGATTCACATTTGGTCCATTTTTCGTTCTCATTTTATGTCATGGCATTCCGATGGTTGGCGTCACTCCGACGGCTGGGGCGAGACTAACTAGCGATCAGTCTTTCGCTTCTTGGTATGGTTAATAACATCCTACTTGGGATACATTTTCCCAGGCTTTCTGTCGTGTCCTGATTCCCGAAATATCCCACCGGGTTTTAAAATGTTTAAAATGTTTCCCCGGAATTTCGAACTTACAGAGTACCGCTACCTTTCCGCTGGCGGCTTGAAGGCTTGATAAACATTGGACGCACACACACTTACTCACAAATCCCTCTCAATAGCACCCTCAGCCTGTCCCACTCGAGCACACCTCACTGGCACTTGCCCCACGGCACACTGGATGCGATGGTGGCTCTCCTCATCACCCTTTCCCCTCCCCCTCCTCTCTCCTTCCCTCTTCCTCCTCCTCTCCCCTTCCACCCCTCCCCCACCTCTCTCTGATCACCAACTTCCTCCCCCCCTCCCCCCTCCACCAACCCACCCCGCTCCTAATCCCAAACGCTAACTGCTTTCCTTTTATTTTCTATTTACACCTATTTTACATGTGACATTGCCCTGTTTAAAAGGGTGGAAATCAACATAGCAATAGAGAGTCTATTGATCTGACTGTGTAGTAAGTGATTCGTCTTCAGGATCGGTTCTGGTGCATCGACATTCAGCAGTAGTGCCCATTAGACGGCGATGTGTGTGAATGTGTGCATGTGTATCAGTGAGTCATTTAACTTGCCGCAGATGTTTATCTCCTCGCTCGCCTCTCTCTGTGAGCGTATGTGCTAATATATATATATATATATATATATATATATATATATATATATATATATATATATATATATATATATATATATATATATATATGTGTGTGTGTATGTGTGTGTGTGTGTGTGTGGTGTGTGTGTGTGTGTGTGTGTGTTGTGTGTGTGTGTGTGTGTGTGTGTGTGTACATATACATTCATGTATACACACATATACTCGTATACAAACAAACACACACACGCATATATGCATATATATGCATATATATACATGCATAGGCCTATATACATTCACGTCCATATATATGCTAATATATATTACATATATATATATATATATGTAAATATATATATATATATATATATATATATATATATATATATATATATATATATATATGTATAGATATGCATGTATATGTGTATATCTACCTATAATCATATATATGTAAGTGAATGTATATACATGCATATATATGCATATATGCGTGTGTGTGTTTATATACGAGTATATGTGTGTGTAGACATATATGTATATGCATATGTTTACCTACAACAAAAAACATTGCGTAACCAATGTCATCCTTTTGCAATGGGTGATTGTTATCTAGCTGTGGCAATACCTTCACTCTCTTTATCCACTCTCTCTCTCTCTCTCTCTGACTCGTCTCTCTCTCTCTCTCTCTCTCTCTCTCTCTCTCTCTCTCTCTCTCTCTCTCTCT